ACCCACGCCATTTCTGTTGTATTTACTTTTGTAAATAAATACTCACCTGCACCAGAGCTGCCGCTTCCGGGTCCTAAATAATCACCACACGGCTTGCCCCGGCACACCGTGACAATAGCAGACGAACACAATGATATTGGAGAAGTCAAATGAAGTTTATAGGATTTACAGAAAGTGTGCAATGGTTACTTAAATGAAATTAGGCAGGTGCATAAATTTGGGCACCCCAACAGAAAAATTACATCAATATTTAGTGGATCCTCCTTTTGCAGAAATAACAGCCTCTAAATGTTTCCTATAGCTTCCAATGAGACCTTGGATTCTGGTTGAAGATATTTTGGACCACTCTTCCTTACAAAACTGGAGATGGTTTCCGAGGTTTGGTGGTTTCCGAGCATGGACGGCCTGCTTTAAGTGACACCATAGATTTTCAATAATATTCAGGTCTGGGGACTGAGATGGCCACTCCAGAACGTTGTACTTGTTTCTCTGCATGAATGCCTTAGTAGATTTTGAGCAGTGTTTAGGGCCGTTGTCTTGTTGAAATATCCAGCCCTGGCGCAACTTCAACTTTGTGACTGATTCTTGAACATTGTTCTCAAGAATCTGCTGATATTGACTGGAATCCATGCGACCCTCAACTTTAACAAGATTCCCAGTACCTGCACTGGCCACACAGCCCCACAGCATGATGGAACCCCCACCAAATTTTACTGTGGGTAGCAAGTGTTTTTCTTGGGATGCTGTGTTCTGTTCCTGCCATGCATACCGCCTCTTGTTATGTCCAAATAACGCATTTTTTGTTTCATCAGTCCACAGCACCTTATTCCAAAATGAAGCTGGCTTGTCAAAATGTGCTTTAGCATACCTCAAGAGACACTGTTTGTGGCATGTGCGCAGAAAGGGCTTCTTCTGCATCACTCTCCCATACAGCATCTCCTTGTTCAAAGTGCGCTGAATATTTGAACGATGCAAAGTGACACCATCTGCAGCAAAATGATGTTGTAGGTCTTTGGAGCTGGTATGTGGGTTGACTCTGACTGTTCTCACCATCCTTTGCCTTTGCTTGTCTGAGATTTTCCTTGGCCTGCCACTTTGGGCCTTAAACAGAACTGTGCCTGTGGTCTTCCATTTCCTCACTACGTTCCTCACAGTGGAAACTGACAGCTGAAATCTCTGAGATAGCTTTTGGTATCCTTCCCCTAAACCATGATGTCAAACAATCTTTGTTTTCAGGTCATTTGAGAGTTGTTTTGAGGCTCCCATGTTGCCACTCTTCAGAGAAGATGCAAAGAGGAGAAAAACTTGCAACTGGCCACCTTAAATACCCTTTCTCATGATTGGATTAACCTGTGTATGTAGGTCAAGGGTTAGTGAGCTTACCAAACAAATTTTGTGTTCCAATAATTAGTGCTAAAGGTATTTAAATCAATAAAATGACAAGGGTGCCCAAATTTAGTCTA